TTGCTTTCAAGAAAAAATATGTAGTTTGCAACATGCAACTGCATACTTTTTCTTGAAAGCAACTATGTGTTTTCTTTATACCAATTGATTCGTCTCATTATTTTATGCATAAAAGTATTAAGGTAAGATTTCCAAAAATTGAATATTTTACAAGATATTTTGTATTTTATGTCAAAATACTGTAATTTACAAGCCTCATAACTCGAAAAGTACTTAATAAAACATAACTTCATTATAGTGTTTTGAAAAGCTCTTGACACTAGCTATTAGATTTTGGAATCAAAAATAGGGGTTTCCATTTAAAAAAATAACTCTGACCTTCAAATGACCTTAAAAATCAACTGCGAGGTCAAAGTCAAGGTCACCATCAGATAGATCCCCCGAAATCATGCAAATTTTGTCTGAGCCATTTTTTTGTACAAGCACATCCCTACGTTTTAAAAGGGTGGAACGGGTGGTCTGAAACACCCGGTATAGTATAAAAAATATATATAATAAATAAATAATGAAAATAAACATAATAAAAAAATGCTAAAAATCTGTCGAGGCGCTCACTGATAAATATCTTCGAATTGTTGTTTATCAAAATCGGCACAGAAACCTAAAAGTTTTTTAAAACTGTGAAATACACTTTCTAACATGATTGGAAAAATAGAATGCATTTTCGAATACTCTATTTCTACTTATCAGTATTTTCAAAACACTTTAAAAAACACTTTGAAAATAATTTATCACTGAATACTCAGATATTTGTAGCATATTTTGTCACGTTTATTTCAATTACTTATTGTATACTCTATCATACTATATGGAATAAAATTAACGAGTTTCTTCTACAAAATAACGTTTAATTCAGTTCATTCTGTCCATTCATTGCAAAATAATAGCAATTTGCTTTAGACATCTTTTTAATGGTCACCCTGTACATAAAAATCAACATTTTTTCATCAGATTTTGCAATAGTTTGTTTAAAACATTACCTACTACACATAAATATCTCTATTATAAAATTCATAGTAAATACAGAATTAGGAAGAAATAAAAAAATTTTCCAAGTAAGACACGCAATTAGAACTTTCGATAACTTTGTAAATATTGATTTAAGCTATTTTAGATATTTTGTAGAAAAGTTTTAGATAAATAATGCAGAGTGTAAAAACGATTATATAATGCAGCATTTAATTGTTTGGTCACACATTTGGAGTTTTAAGATTTCAAAATTTAAAAATTATTTAATAAATACACCCATTTTGTGTGTATTACATATTCTTGTAATTGATGTTAAGATATTTTCAAAATGGTATAATTAAATTCTTATTCGTCAAAAACTTTCAAAAAATTTATAAAAATAATAATTTATGTACACTGAGAAAAATGTTCTGATTATATCAATAAAACGTTTCTGGTAGATCGCATTTTTGTTAAACGAAGCAGAATTTCTGGTAATCATAACAGGGTTTTATATTTTATAACTACACCGTTGGTAGACTATACTATAAGGATCTAATTAAGTATTTTTCTGTTGGATCTACAAAACTTCTTGTTACATTTACGTTAATCGCAGCGCTATGCAAAGTTTGACTGTTTCAACTGTTTGCCGCATTCATTTATTATACCACCGCTCGGAATTAGTTGCACATTTTAGGCCGATTCCCGAGACGACGCCTCCTGTTCCCCTACTACCGCCCGGCCGCTGACGACCGAGCCGCTGATAGCTCTGGCTCAGGAACGTTTTATATTAGAAATAGGCTGGGTTGTTTAGGCATCTCTCAGGAAATCGTAACATTTTCTTCGCTACATAAATAATGTTTATTTTTATTAATACATAATATATACAGGGTGCCCCGTAAAGACCGTAACAACGCTTAGGGATATATTTCTGAGATAATTCTGAGCAAAAAATCTTAATACCAAAATACTCAGGGTGTAATGGTTTTTGAATTAGAAGCATTTAAAGTTAGCGAATAAGATAGCCTGAAATTTGCGCGCTCAGGTGTGTACAACGTACAGTGATAAAAGCGAAATTGACTATCACTCCCCTGTTATCAGTATTAATATTTGGAAAATAAATTTGCTAATACATATTAACATAAATATTGTTTACGCAATTAAGATTTTATTGAAAATATTATAAAGAAAAAAATATTATGATACACAAAACGCAAGCTGTCAAAAATTACATTTCTTTGACATTTCTTTTTATATAGATATAGTGGTAGGAGGATCTCAAGCCCAAGTAGATCGTATTTCTTGATATATATTTTTTATTACACCAATGTTAGAACAAACGTTTCGGCTGATCATTCAACCATCTTCAGTGTTCCTTTTAATCTGTACTTAAAACTTTGTTGATTCAATTCACCATTATTGAGGTCTATACTGGTGATCACTTATGTGATTGTGAGAAATTGCAGTTGCGGTGTTAATCTCAAGTCACCATGTTCTCAACTGTACTTCAAGTTTATTATTTCTTTTTATCTTACAGATATTTTACATTATATCTTACAGAATATTGTTATATGTTACTCATTTATGGTAAAATGAAAAAGAAGTGCTACGTAATGTAGAAGAAAATACAATGAGTATTCGTGAAATTAGTCGTCAAGTTGGAATGTCAAAAACAATGGTTCATAAAATATTAAAAGAAAATGAAATGCATGCGTTTCATTATGTGGAATATTGTTTTTATTTTTTATGTTTTATCTAATAGATGGCAGTATGGTATATGATGGAGGGCAGCACTACGAATCGAGCTTGCGTATTTTTGAGCCATCTGAGTAGCACACCTTGTTTATGTTCTTATTATACTGAGTCAGTACAGAAAAAGGGAATTGTACTCGTTATTATTAATATATTGTGTGTCTGATATCATCCAAGTGTTATTATTTGATTCCATCAAACAGTCTCAATCCCCACACATTACTCAAAGGTATAACATTTATTACCTCAAAATTATGCGCAAAGAGTTTTTACATATTCAATATTATTTAATTATTTTTAACTGTTATTAAAATAAAATATTGTGAAACTATTTCATATATTTAATAATTTTATTGTACAAATATCTGTAAGATAAAAAGAAATATCAAAGAAATGTAATTTTTGACAGTTTGCGTTTTGTGTATCATTTTGTGTAATATTTTTTTCTTTATAATATTTTCAATAAAATCTTAATTGCGTAAACAGTATGTTAATATGTATTAGCAAATTTATTTCCCAAATATTAATACTGACAACAGGGGAGCGATAGTCAATTTCGCTTTTATTACTGTACGTTGTACACACCTAAACGCGCAAATTTCAGGCTATCTTATTCGCTAACTTTAAATACTTCTAATCTAAAAACCATTACACCCTGAGTATTTTGGTATTAAGATTTTTTGCTCAGAATTATCTCAGAAATATACCCCTAAGCGTTGTTACGGTCTTTATGGGACACCCTGTATATATTTAATTATTAATGAAAATAAACATTATTTATGTAGCGAAGAAAATGTTACGATTTCCTGAGAGATGCCTCAACAATCCAGCCAATTTCTTATATAAAACGCTCCTGAGCCAGAGCTATCGGCAGCGGCCGGGCGGTAATGGGGGAACAGGTGGCATCGTCTCGGTAGAGCACTAAAGATACAGGTATTCTCGTCTGCGCCATTTTTATCCCATTCTCCCACTCCTTGCCCTCTCACCCCTTTGTCGCTGAGCTGAGAAGTTTATGATGATTAGGTTATGTCTTCTAAGCAGCTTAGCAAGCGAGAGGGCAAGGAGTGGGGGAATGGGATAAAAATGGCGCAGACGAGAATACTTACGTTTATAGTGCCTTAGTCTCGGGAATCGGCCCAAAATGTGCAACTAATTCCGAGCGCTGTATTATACTATTACTGCGGCTTCGCTACTCGTACATTAAATCCTTTATGAAGCATCGGCGCAGAGCATCCTCAACTGAGCTCGCTGGAAGATTACGTCGCGTCGTTGAATCCTTAACGAAATATAAGTTACATTCTTAACCTTTTGCGATCACCCGAGTGAGACGCGATGTTTGTCGGTAGAGTAAAGTTATGTTTTACGGAAAGTAAAACTTGTTAACCTTACTAAATTTCTTTAGTTAGTTAAGAGCCCGCTGTTCCAATTTCTTGGTAGGTTTATCCATTAGTTATTTATTAATAAATATCAGTAATCTTTACTAGATGGTTGGAATACCAAGTAAGAATTAGGCCGATTCTACAATAAGTTGCAATACCCTGAATAAGATTTCCGTTTGCGACCCACCTCCGATCTTGATGAATTTTTACAGGCATATTGCACGTACTGAATGTAGTCGAAATCTAAAGTGCTAACTTGCGGAAATGACTAAACTGTTTTTGTTAATTATTTTAAAAAATATTTATTGTATGGAAAAAATTGTCAAACAAAAAATGAAGCTCATAAAAAGCTCTACAAATAAGGTTTTATACATATTTTACCTAACTCCAATATTTTAGTTGTTATTATCAAAAAACTTGTAAAAGCTCCCGTAGGAGGAGGCGGAACCCCCACTGCATCCTCGTTTCGCGTGGAAAGTGTATGCGTGGAAGCAGTGTGTTCCGCCTTTTTGCGGGGGATTCCATCATCAAAAAACTATACACTTCGGGTCTGGATTGAATCTCGCTTTGCGTAGAAAGTCGTAAACCCATGTGGAACTTCGTTTTCCATTGTAAAGTATATACGGTTAATCCAAGGGTTTGGATAATCACGCTTCGCGTGAAGCTGCAAACCAACGTGAAATCGTATAATTATAAACCTCGCTTCGCATCTAAAGCACTGGGTGATGTGAGGTGGACCTCGCTTTGCGTGAAAAGTTGCAAATTCATGTGGAATTGTACAAGTAGTTAAATTACATTCACTAACTCACTTAGCTATTCAGAAAATCGATCTTGCGCATGCACAGTCAAAAAATAAAAAATCTAGCAAGATAATAAAAATTTCAATATTTTAGGAATTATTCGTTTCCGCAAGTTAGCACTTTGGATTTCGATTACATTTAGTATGTACTATATGCCTGTAAAAATTCATCAAAATCGGAGGTGAGTCGCAAACGGAAATCTAGCGATACCCTGTCGCCAGTCGCGAATGCTCCGTCTTACCAGAAATAACTAGAAATAGCGTTTTTTAATTAGTAGTTGCCATCCTTCGCGACTGGCAACGAGGCAGTTGCAACTTATTGTAGAACCGGCCTTATTTATTAATAGATAACTGATGGATAAATCTATCAGAAGTTGGAAAAATCGGCCCTTAACTAACTAAAAGAATTTAAAAAGGTTAACGAGAAATTCTGGTAGATTTAAAGAGGATGGAATTAACCATGATCCCCTCTGGTAATTCCAACAAAAATTCTGTTTTATCCATTTTCGAACAGACATACTAGTCTTATCTTGAATCTTCAAGAATTCTTGATAATCCAACAAGATTTTTTTCCAGTGTATTATATTATTATATTTATATATTATATTATTTATATTATATATATAAATAATATTATATTCAATAATACTAAATATGACAATAACATACCCGTCTTTGGCCAAACAGCATTAACCGCAATGTTATCAAGTTTAAGTTCTTCCGCCATACCAAGAACACACATAGACATTCCGTACTTGGCAATTGTGTATGCAACGTGATTTTTAAACCAAATTGGTTTCATATTTAACGGCGGGCTTATGTTAATTATGTGTGGATTTGCACTTTTCTTCAGATAAGGAATACAAATTTTCGATCTAGAACATAATTGCTCTGTATAATTTATAATACAAATCTTAGAATATAATATACGCGTAATACTTTTAATAGATAGATTTTACTTTCTTTTAACTGTTTATACTTAAAATTAGATACATTGATGTAAAGAACAATGAATCGCAATAATAATAATAAAAACATACACGAGAAATGTTCCTCTAGCGTTAATATTATTCATCAAATCGTATCTTTTCATATCAGTTGAAACTGTGTCTGTTAAAGAAATAGCGCTAGCATTATTCACAACGACATCAATACCGCCAAATTTTGCGACAGCATTTTCCACTGCATTAATTACTTGTGCTTCATCACGTACATCGACAATGCAAGGTAGAGCTTTACCACCGGCTGCTTCAACTGAAACATATATATTTTCCAAAATAAATTTTTAAATAAAAATTTTTGAATAATGATCCAGACATCTATAAAACAAATATAAAATTATAGAATATTTCAATCATAACCAAAATATAATCAAGAAAAATAAAGGAGGACGTTAAAAATAGGTCGATTTTGGCCCATGGTGTGGAACCAAAACTACACATGATTTCTTATAGATTTCATACCGAATCACATGGAAAAGTTCGTTTTCCTCTAGATAGCGGAAAAAGTACGGAAAAATTGAAAAAAGACCATAAAAAATGCAATTTCCCGAGCTGGTTGAAGTTTGGAACATTCCTGGAGCGATTTTTTAAAAATGATTTGTCGCTCTTGTTCTTTTGCAGGAAGGAAGTTTCGAGACTAACAAACAAAGTACAAAAGAGACCGATCCGATACATGCGTCGGAAGACACCCTTATACCCGAAAACCAACCCCAAAATCACTCAAACAATTCTAGCCAAGTTAAAAATGATTTGTCGCTCTTTTCATTTTGCACTGAAAAAGTTCCGAGGCCCTCACACGACATGCAAAAAAGACCGATTCGATACATGCGTCGAAAGACACCCTTATACCCAAAAAACCACCTCCAAATCACTCAAACATTTCTCGCCAAGCTAAAAATGATTTGTCGCTCTTCTCCTTTTGCATAGAGGAAGTTCTGAGGCCCTCACATGATATGCAAAAGAGACCGATCCGATACATGCGTCGGAAGACACTCTTACACTCGAAAAACCACCTCCAAAATCACTTAAACGATTCTCGCTAAGCTAAGGGTGTCTTCCGACACATGTTTCGAATTGGTCTCTTGCGTACTTTATTTGTGGGTCTCAAAACTTCCTCCCTGCAAAAGGACAAGAGCGACAAATCATTTTTAAAAAATCGCTCCAGGAACTTTTCAAACTTCAACCGATCTGACGCATGTATCGAATCGGTCTTTTTTGTATGTCATGTGAGGGCCTCAGAACTTCCTCTATGCAAAAGGAGAAGAGCGACAAATCATTTTTAGCTTGGCGAAAATTGTTTGAGTGATTTTGGGGGTGGTTTTTCGGATATAAGGGTGTCTTCCGACGCATGTATCGAATCGGTCTCTTTTGTACTTTGTTTGTTAGTCTCGAAACTTTTTCAGTGCAAAATGAACAAGAGCGACAAATCATTTTTAAAAAATCGCTCCAGGAACGTTCCAAACTTCAACCAGCTCGGGAAATTGCATTTTTCATGGTCTTTTTTCAATTTTTCCGTACTTTCCCCGCTGTCTAGAGGAACTTTACCACGTGATTCTACGGTATGAAAACTATAAGAAACTATATGTAGTTTTGGTTCCACACCATGGGCCAAAATCGACCTATTTTTAACATCTTCCTTTAACAATTAAATCTTAAATGTTGTATAACTGCAATCTCAAAAACAAAAAATCTGAAAAAGAATTATGTCAAGTTAATATACAGAGTATCCCATTTTAAAAACCCCACGTGAATAACTTTTCAGAGAGACATTTTCAAGAAAAATGATTTAGACCAAAATTGTTGAGTTTGGAGGGGGACATCCGATGATGACATTGGTTTAATCTAGGGTGTACATGCCAAGGTCATATAGAAGTCAACTTTGTTTTTTTAAATAGAATACCCTATTTTTGATTCCAAAATCTAATAGCTGGTGTCAAGAGTTTTTCAAAACACTATAATGAAGTTATTTTTCATTAAGTACTTTTCGAGTTATGAGGCTTGTAAATTACAGTATTTTGACATAAAATATAAAATATCTTGTAAAACATTCAGTTTTTGAGAATGTTACCTTAATACTTTTATGCACAAAATAATGAGACAAATGAATTTGTATAAAGAAAACACATTGGTTTTAAAAAAAAGTATGGAGTTGCATGTTGCAAATTACATATTTTTTCTTGAAAACAACTATGTGTTTTCTTTATACCAATTGATTCGCCTCATTATTTTATGCATAAAAGTATTAAGGTTCCCGAAAATTAAATGTTTTACAAGATATTTTGTATTTTATGTCAAAATGCTGTAACTTTCAAGCCTTATAACTCAAAAAGTACTTAATAAAAAATAACTTTATTATAGTGTTTTGAAAAGCTCTTGACACCAGCTATTAGATTTTGGAATCAAAATTAAAGTGTTCTATTTAAAAAAAACAAGGTTGACCTCCATATGATCTTGACATGTACACCCTAGGTTAAATCAATGTCATCATCGGATGTCCCCCTCCAAACCCAACAACTTTGATCTAAATCATTTTTCTTGAAAATGTCTCTCTGAAAAGTTATTCACGTGAGGTTTTTAAAATGGGACACCCTGTATGCTACGTGCAAAGTATCGATACACTATATTTATCTCCATCTGTGCTGAGAACACGTATAAAAATTCATAATTTTACGAATACTTATTGTTAGTTTTTTTAGTTTCTCTGTACTATTAAATATATCAAAAAATAATTTAATTAAAACAAAAAAAAAATGTTTATATAATTAAAATAATAATATTGATACTAATATTTTGAGAATTTAGCATATTAATTGTTAAGAAATAAAAAAGATGCAAAAAAAGAGACCGACATATTATATAGATTATATACAGGGTGTTTAATAATGTTCATGCCAATGCTCGTGTTCAGGTAGAGCGCGGTAAACTAAACAGAAAAGTTTTTTACTGTTTTACAATTTTCGCAATAAGAATTCAGATATTAATTAAAAAGAATTGACGAATAATTGCGCGTTTCACGTTTGCACAACTAGAAAAGTTTGGTCGCTCGGCGACGGCAGAAGCAATATGCGAGCAGTGATTGGACAGAAACTTCACTTTTGCGTTGCCGTGCAACACTCGTCGCTGGCACGCCTGGAGCATACATCTCACACGCGAAACGCGCTATTCGTCAGTTCTTTTAATTAATATTTCAATTATTATTGCAAAAATTGCAAAATGGTACTTTTTAGGATTTTTCCGTTCAGTTTATCACGCTTTATCTGCACACAAGCGTTTGCACGAATATTATCAAACATCCTGTGCAATTAAATTACGATTAAAAACACAAAGTCGACGTATTGTCACAATTTGTACTAATTGTAAGTTTAAACAATACTATATTGTGTGAAAAAAATTTAAAAAGTTGATGCATCTATATTGGACAATTTAGATTTGTTATATGCGCGCATTTTGCAAATTTTTTATTTTTATATTTGTAACGCCAATTTAAATTTATTTCAATTAGTTCAATTTAATTCACTCTACAATAACAATATAATACGGTGAAGATATTTTTGTCATCAAATTTATCATATTTTTTTATGTCTGTAAAACTTAAGCACCTTTACTACCCTTACTACAAAAAATTGAAATTACTTATACTAAAATTTAATGCTATTTAAGTGCTAATTTCGTGCTCTACTTTCATTTTTATTACTTGAGACATTTAGCAGGAATTTATGATTAAAAGTGTTAGCTTTACATAAAACGCTTGTATCTCAACTATTATACAGGATGTCCCATTTTAAATTTTGCACCTGAATATCTCGTCAGGGGAGCCACCAATTCGAAAATAACCCTTACAAAAGTTGTTGGGTTCGGAGAGGGACATCCGATGATGACATTGGTTTAACCTAGGGTGTACATGCCAAGATCACATAGAGGTCAACTTTGTTTTTTTAAGTGGAACACCCTATTTTTGATTCCAAAATCTAATAGCTGGTGTCAAGGGCTTTTCAAAACACTATAATGAAGTTATTTTTCATTAAGTACTTTTCGAGTTATGAGGCTTGAAAGTTAGAGCATTTTGACATAAAATACAAAATATCTTGTAAAACATTCAATTTTCGGGAATCTTATCTTAATACTTTTATGCATAAAATAATGAGACGAATCAATTGGTATAAAGAAAACACATAGTTGCTTTCAAGAAAAAATATGTAATTTGCAACATGCAACTGCATACTTTTTTTTAAAACCAATGTGTTTTCTTTATACCAATTCATTTATCTCATTATTTTGTGCATAAAAATATTAAGATAAGATTCCCGAAAATTGAATGTTTTACAAGATATTTTGTATTTTATGTCAAAATGCTGTAACTTTCAAGCCTTATAACTCGAAAAGTACTTAATAAAAAATAACTTCATTATAGTGTTTTGAAAAGCCCTTGACACCCGCTATTAGATTTTGGAATCAAAAATAGGGTGTTCTATTTAAAAAAACAAAGTTGACCTCTATATGACCTTGGCATGTACACCCTAGGTTAAACCAATGTCATCATCGGATGTTCCCCTCCGAACCCAACAACTTTTGTAAGGGTTATTTTCGGATTGGTGGCTCCCCTGACGGGATATTCAGGTGCGTAATTTAAAATGGGACATCCTGTATAATATAGAAAATTAAAAAATAAATACAATTTAATATTTTTTAAGAGCTTTTATAAGCCATAAATAAAATTGATCTATCTATTATAGTTAGAAAAAATAAGCCAATAAAGATATACAGAGATATCATAATTTACAAGAGTAAACTACCCTATAAAATGAAAATAAAGAATCGTTTCCAGTTTCAAAATGTTTTCTATTTTTGGTGCTCTCAATGGAAAATTACATTTTTGTGCAAATTCCTTATTATTAAAAATGTAATTTTGACTTGTCAAGTGCCATTATTTACAAGATATAAAAAATTGATTCTAAACATAAAATATTCTATGATAACATAATAGATAATAATGTAAACTTACTTTTAGACATCTTTTCTTTATTAATTAATAAAAAGAGATTATATAAAAGAAAGAAATAAAATAAAATTTCTAAAAAAGGTATAGTCAACCTTAGAATTTTCTTTAAGGTAGTTCCAGTAATTTCTCAATTATTCAAAATTTATTTGAAATTAAGAAATAAATACAGGGCCATTAGAATTGTGTTGAAAGTAAATGGTTATTACTTCATAATAAGTAGGCCGAATAAAATGAATGAAACAAATGTCATCTTC